AAATCAACACCTGAAATCTCATCTTACTAAAACTCTTTTTCACATCACAATAAATTATCAACAGAATAAAAAGACAACCCACAGAGAGGGAAAATAAATTTAGGCATGTGCCCTTCAGAGAACGGACAACTATCTAGAACATATTAAAAATGAAAAAATCAGGTACACCAAATTCAAAGATTCAGTTTAAAAAATGGGCATTTAATATGAACATGCACTTCTCAGATGAAGATATACAAATGGCAAATAAACATAATATATGGAAAATGTTCAACATCATAGGCTATTCAAGAGGTGCATATTAAGCAACACTGAGATTTCATCCCACCCCAGAAAGAATGGCTATCATCAAGAAATCAACCAATAACGAATTGTGGCCAGGCTATGGGTAGAAAGAAATCCTCTCCACTGTTGGTGGGAGTGTAGGCTGCTACAATTCACTGCAGAAATCAGTGTGGAGATGCCAGAAGAAACTAGAATTAGAGGTCACATTGGACCCAGCTCGTCCCCTATTGGGTTTTTTTTTTTTTTTTAGAGAATACGTACCTGTAGGTGACATACCTTTATTTTTTTTCCATACTTTTATTGAGAAACAAATAGCAATGAGACAGTTTCAAATCAAATTGGTAGGACAGTTTCAATAACTAACACATTGCATACATTCTTCCTAGTGGTTAATTGCTGTACAAGATGCAGACATAATATACTATTTACAAACACCATTAGAACAAATCCCTCTATTCATTAAGAGAATGTAACTATATATCTATCCTAACCACTTTGAATACACAGATACAAAATGGACATTCATCTGTATACCCTTCCTTTCTTAAGTTCCGTTATTTGAATAGTACAGGTGTGTTAACTCAGCAAAATATTCCAAAAGAGTCCAGTAGCCCATAATAGTATTGGGTCTTCTGCTTCACTGGCAATGTCAGAAATGTTGACCTGAGTCCCCTACAGCTCAACATAACAGCATGGCTTTACTTCTTATATTTCGTTTTTATACTTTCCTGCTGGATGGTTAAGACCAAGGTAAAGCAGGACCTATGCAACAAGAGTTGTAGCTTTTGGGTCTAATAAGGTCAGTAAAATACCCTCAGGCCTTATCCTGAGATCCTGTACCTCAGATTGTATACAGAAGAAATGAAAGATCACACCATAGTAATATATGTACATCCACATTTATAACAGCACAACGTGTCATAGCTAAATTTTGGAAACAACCCAAACACATCAACTGAGGAATGTATAAAAAAGATGTGATCAATAAAGATGGAACTCCACTCAGCTATGAAGAAGGATAAACTTGAGACTTTTATAAGTAAATGGATGCAGTTTGAGACCATATTCAGAAGTAAAATAAATCAGATTCACATATGTAAATATGATATTGTCTCCTTGGTGTGAGAAGCTGAATCATTAAATAAGGTCCAAAGTACACAATAGGTATTTTGTAATGGGAAGAAGTTGTTCAAAAAGAAAAAGGCTCTAGGATGGGGGAAAGCGGAAAGAAAGGAAGGGCAAAGCACAAAATGAAAATACATGATAGTTCTACTACTGGTTTCTCTTAGTACAATGAAAAGAAATGTTTTCGCTATTACCTTTCAGAGAATTTTCATGCTTATGTCTTGTATTCTGATTAATTACTTTAAAGATAACAACACACATAGGAATAACTATTGCTATTATATTTTTAATTTGTTAAAAAATTTCATTTTCCTTTTTTTCCATTAAAAAATAATGTCTGTGTAGCCAAAGCCATGCTGGAGGCTCTCTCATCACTGAGAGTTAGGAGCAATATCACAAGAAGAGTATCATAAGAATTTTATACTCAAGACATGTGGTTTTTATTCTATGTCTTAAATTTTCTAAAATGATGTGTTTTAGATTAAGATTTCTGCCTACTGCCAGTGGCTGTAAGGTTATACTAACAGAGCATTGTTAAGAAATCAACAAAGATTTTTTCTTGTTACACACAGTTCTTTCCCTGGTCAAGGACTGGTTCTTTATTTGAATCATGAGGCATACAGTGAACGCTGCCCATCCAGTCTCATACATACACTTAAAGTGAACTTCTGGTCTCATTTGCACAGCCCTCAGGCAAAGCGACTGCTTCTCTAAAATGGAGCACGTGGAGGGGCTGCAGCTCACCTTCACATGCTGGCGCTGGCTGTGTCCACTGCCCTTGTGCAGAGCATTCAATCTGGGCCGGTCCCTGCAACACGAAGCCCTCCTCACAGGTGAAGCTGCAGGATGACCCGAAGGCAAAGTTTCCAGCAGAAGAGTGGCTGTAGTTCACAGAGCCATTCTGCAGCTGGTGGATGGCATCACAGGTCACAGCTGTAACACAGGTGTCAGTGTATATCATGAGTCTGGCTTGCCTATTTCAAGTGTGGGTTGAAGAGAAGGTTTTCAGGGTTTAGAAGTGCAAGAAGTTTACCTTTACAGCTTGGCTTCTCGCTGTCCCAGATCCCGGAGGAGGTGCACTGCACATTCGCAGTTCCCATTAGTTCAAATCCTTCCTTGCACTCAAATGCACAAGTTGTGTTCCACGGAAATCTTTCAGAGCTTGGCAAACAATGGATGATCCCATTGGTGGGTGCAGTCAAAGCATCACATTCCACCACTGTGGAGATAAAAGGATACCTTGAGTTTTTATAGAAGAATATTGTTTTTACTTCCTATTGCAGTTAATTACATTTATGAAACAGTGAGAAAGTTGCCTTCAAAGGATTCATCCAAAATAGTTAAGTCCATTTAGGGGAGTTGACCAGGAATGAATGCTTAAACTATGGGGCCACAGCCCACTAATAATTAAACTGTGGAGCAAATAGCACACAGGATCTATAAGAATCAAATAGTTAAACAAAAAGATGTTCCCATCAGTGAAACATGTCATGTCTAATCTTTGTCTTTCCCTTTTTCCCAGAAAAACTGCCAAGTTTTGAGGGATTTCTGTGGTTAAAATGCTTTGCTCCTGAACTTTTTCCCTTTAACATTAATATTCTAAATAAAAGCCAGAGAGTTCTCAGCTTCGAGGCTCTACTGCAGAGAAACTCTCTGTGGGCTAGACATTCTCCTTGGGAGTATCCCCTGTGAGTCTCTCTCAGACTGAACTAATTCTCATCTGCAAGTAGTTGTTTTTGTATACTGTGCCACCTGTGGTCACTCCTGCAGCATGTATAAACACTCATAAGAAAGTTATGTTCTTTTTTATTGATAGTTTCATATATTCACATTAAGTTTTATTTTCACGATGCTGAGTGGTGCCTGATTTTTTATCATCTCATAATGCAGAATCTGCATGATGTAGATTCTAGAGCATGCTTTATGAGTAATTGGGGTGATAAAAGATGGACATACAAGGGAAATTATTTTAGCCTAGTGTGACTTGAAGGATTGATCCTTTTAAATTTTGTTTCATACAGGAAGATTTTCAGTTTTTTTATTTTTAAAGAGAATAACAATAGTGATAATAAAATAAATTAGAAATGATACAAAATTTCACTAAACAAAATAATATGAATTGGACAATATTTGTTGTATGGCTAAGTGTTGTCTTCAACTTGGTTGTTTAGATTACCAGGTACACACATGCAAAATTGGAAAAAGAAAAAAGTTTAAGAAATTAAGTGAGAAAGAGGAAAATATGAAAAAAGCATTCAGCATTAACTGCTGCTTTCATGGACCACAAAAACCCACAGTACAATTATCCAATTCTTCCTGCATACATACATAGATATATCTCTTTATCCCACTTCCTCTCCTGTTATTGACCTCATCTCAGTAATTCTGTCATTTAAATAGATACATTATGAAGGAAGATTGAGAAAGAAAAGACTGGTGGTTCCACGCCGTCATGCTACTGTTCCTAACTGCTCACCACTAGAGATTCAGAATACTTCGTTCTCTTTTTCTTTCTTT